GATGGATGGATGGATAGATAGATAGATAGATAGATAGATAGATAGATAGATAGATAGATAGATAGATAGATAGATAGATAGATAGATAGATAGATAGATAGATAGATAGATAGATAGATAGATAAAGGGGTTCATCCCATTTCCGGAGCGCCGGCTCTCTCTCCAGACGGCCCGGACTGGGGATCGATTCCCGGGGGAATTACCCGCCATTCCGATGGAGATGGCGCCCGTTTGTGTGTGTGTTTGTTTGTGTGTTTGTTTGCGTGGTAATTGGTGGCGTGCGGATGGAGACGCTGGAGGATGGAGGGGATGATTGAGCGCCTGATTGATGGAGACACAAAGGCTGAAGCAGAGCTCCATACATCACCCAGACAAAGCGGCTCGCGGGGGGGGGGGGCCTGATTTATACGCTGTAAAAACAGATTTAACCCCCCCCCCCCCCCCATTGCCTCCCGGGTGGCCGCATCTGTCTCCAGATGTTGTTCCAGGAAATTAAGAGTTTGTTTTCTATTCTTCCATCTACTTTCTCTGAGAAAATAGCTAAAAACTATGAAGGTGACCTTGAAATCTTTAGCCCCAAAATACCTTTTTATTCATCTGAAGTTTTTGTTTCGCTTAAACTAAATATATAAAAATAAAACTATGACTGTTTTATTTGATGAAAATAACATTTTCAGCCTTTTGTCCATTACAATAAATTAAATTGTAATAAGATAGCTAAAATCTACGAACATGACCTTGAAATCTTTAGCCCCAATCTTTAGCTCTTTAGCTAAATATATACAAATAAATCTATAACCTACATGCTTTTTTATTTGATTCAAGTAAAATCTTCTGCATTTTGTCTATTACAATAAACTAAATTGTGATAAAATAGCTAAAATCTACGAACATGACCTTGAAATCTTTAGCCCCAAAAAGCCTTTTAATTAATCTGAAGTCTTTGTTTTGCTCTTTAGTTAAATATATAAAAAATAAAACTATAACTTAGATGCTTTTTAATACGCTTCAATTAAAAGTTTCTGCATGTTGTCTATTAAATAATAATAATAATAATATAATAATATAATAATAATAAACAATAAACTAAATCATGATAAAACGGATCTCAGAATCGTGTCATCAGATCTGATGCTCACGGCTTTAGAGGATTAGTGGAAGATCAGAAATGAGATTTGGTTGTTTATTTACTCAAGCTTAAGCTCCGGAAAAGTTCCAGTAAAAACTCAGATAAACTGATTTTTGAAGTCTTTAATAACCAAATGAGGTGGACGATATGATGAAATTATAAAAGAAAAATACATGTAGGATCTAAACAGAGAAAGACTAAATATTCCTACGTTAATGAGTGACCGGTAAGGGTGTCTACATTGGGTATAAAAGGAGCTTAGTTATTTAGTAAAAAGGTTCATTATAATCAGCTTTATTCATTATCTCTCATCTCAGATCGTCTCTAAGTTAAAAGAATTTCAGAACAACCTAAAACCTTCAAAAATGTGACTTTCCTTTGATATGTAGAGAAAAAAATCAAACAATAAGCAATAATAAAAAACATAAACATTTATGCTAATTATATAACAGAATTAAAATGTATTAATACCAATAATGGAACAGGATCATCCTAAATGACTGTTTATTTCATTATCACACATTTCAATGTCATTCATTTATTAACTCTCAACAGATTCTCTTTCATTCTAGACAGCTTCTGGAAGTTTTGTGACCACATTTTCCTCTTTGTTTTTCCAGAAATTCCTTCACTTTGAAAACATCAACTCAACTCGCTGATAAAAGGTATTTCCAAACTGTACTTTTTTCAGTCAGGAAAAGGTAAAACTTCTCCCAAAGCAGCTGTAAAGGGATTAAGTTTAATTTTTAAGTCACCCTCATAGTCTAATATGTTCTCTGACTCACTCTCGCATGTTCTGAAACCAACTTATTCCATCTTAAGTGTAAATGGATGTTAAAACAAATGTCCCTTTTTCTTAAAACAAGCTGAGAGAGACTTCTTTTAAATGTATTTGAGCTATGATTAAGTCTAAAAGTCAAGTGTTTGTGGGTCCAGAAAGGATTCAGAGCCCTCAAAATGTTCTAAATGATCTGTTTCATTTCAGCCATTTGCTAAAAAAACTACTTTTATTTCTCAGTAATGCACTCATCTCGACAAAAAAACAACAGAAATGTGGAATATTTTTGCAAACGTATTGTATAAAAGAAAATCTGAAATGTTACATGGTCATTAACTCATGTTTAACTCAAACAGTGTCTATTTCTACTGAAATAGCCCTAAAACAGATAATATAAGATCAAATATACTCTTTATTTAAATGGTAGAAGATCGGTGAGAAAAAAATTAAATAATGATAATTGTAATAATAATAATAATGATCCGGACAGCATATTGTTTTGTTTATGTTGTGTGTGTGTTTGTTTTGGTTTTTTCCTCTCCTTTTTTATTTTTCACCCCTTGTAATTGTCAAAAAAAAAAGTTAAAGTAAAAAAAAATTATAATAATAGTGCCACAGTAGATTACACAGCCATTACAGAGTTATTGCTTCATTACAGATGATTTGCCCTTTCACAATTTCATCTGTTGAAGCTTTATTTAACAGCTTTATTTATCTAATCTTTATTAAATTGTGAAAAGCATCATTTTTAACGGGCAGTTTCCAGCTGCTGTGGACGCTGCTGCCCCCTAGCGGCGCCTCCCGGAACTGCAGGACGTCACGTGTTTTCTAGTGAAAAATCAATTTGGTCTGCTGGAGAAAAAAAAAAAATCATTTCCTTTATTCATTTAGATAAGAAGTCCCTTCTTAAAGTGGAGACACTCCGGGCTGATTTTCTCAGGAAGCAGTGAGCGGATCGGATTTTTGGAGTAATGATGTGGAAAGCGTGTGATTGGCTGCCGGTGGGGTGAGGCCTGATTATACACACTCAGGTCTGAAACCCGGGCTGAAATCCACCTGGAAGGACATTAGATAGTGCAACGATGAGCAGATAATTAGTGGATTATATCATGTAAAAGAATCCCTTTATGTTTCTGCATTTAGGGCTTTAAAAGCCTTTTTTGGCGGATTTTAACCTGTTTTGGGGCTTTTAAAGCTGCTTTTGGGGCTTTCAGACAGATTTTTGGGGCTTTAATGATGTTTTGTGGATTTTAAAGCCATTTTCTTGGGCTTTAATGCTGTTTTTTGTGGCTTTTAAAGCTGTTTTTTTGGGAATTTCAAAGCAGTTTTTTCAGTGTTTAAAGGTTTTTTTTTCCAGTTTTTAAAGGGGTTTTTCGGGGCGTTAAAACTGTTTTTGTGGCTTTAAAACCGTTTTTTGGGGCTTCTAAAGCTGATTTGTGGGGTTTTAAAGGTATTTTTTGTGGCTTTAAGCATTTTTTGTGGCTTTAAAGCAGTTTTTTGTGGCTTTAAACCTGTTTTTTGTTGCTTTTAAAGCCATTTTTTGGGGTTTAAAGCTGTTTTTGGGGCTTTAAGCCCCCCGGTTTCCTGCTGCCTCTGATGGGTCAGAGACGGGGATCCAGACCGGATGTGAAGGATTGTGGTTTGGCTGGAAAGTATAGAAAGTAAGAGACAAACAGGACGATTTTATTGGTTCATTTTTTTAATTAAAATATATAGAAACATGACCACTAGTGTAAAAGTACAACGTGAAACGATGCGCACGTGTTCCTGCAGCTTTCTGGAGCAGCACTTCACCTCAAACACGTCCCATTCCCCACAAAAGCCGTCTTTTTCTGCCTCTTTTCAGCCGTCGAAGCCTCACAACATTTAGCCCCTTAAAAAGCGTCCCGGAGACCACAAACCTGCTGGTCTGTTCAAATCTGAGCGGAGAAAGAAAGAAAAACTAAACGAAAAGCTCATTTCCAAACTCGCCTGAAGAGGAAAAACTCAACGTGAGAGGCTCCGGATGAAGAACGGGGGGGAAAACCTCTGAAACACACACGTTAGGGGGGAGTTTAGCTAAAGAATTTAGCTCAGAAACCTGCGCTTTCTTTTGTTTTTAAGCCACTAACATGGCTGGAAATGGAGGCTGTTCTGGTTCTGGTTTCTGTTTGTAAAGAAAAAACTGGAAAAATAGATTCATTTAGCTTTGAAACCTGCCCTTTTTTTGAACGAGCCACTGGCTGGAAATGGGGGCTGTTCTGGTTCTGGTTCTGGGGGGGAACCTGCTTCGTCCTGAACAGCTGATTGGTTGGTGGTTTGTTAAAATCTGAGCGGAGAAAGAAAGAAAAACTAAACGAAAAGCTAATTTCCAAACTCCTGCTTCATCCTCTGGGCGCTGAACAGAAAAAAACAGGGAAAAAAAGCTTAATTTAGCTTAGAAACCTGCCCTTTTTCCCCCGTTTTTAAGCCGCTAGCGTCGGGGGCTGTTCTGGTTCTGGTTTCTGGGGGGAACCTGCACAGATTTGGACCTGCTCGTCCTCTGGTGGGGGGGTCAGTGGAGCCCTGCAGTGTCTGTGGGCCTCCAGCAGGGGGCCCCGGGGCCTCAGGAGGCGTCACCCTCGGGCTGGCCCTCCTGGAAGGGGTAGCTGAGGGCGGGGGGGAAGCCCTGGGTGGCGCGCGGCTGCTCGTCCAGCAGCACCAGGTCGTCCACGTCGCGGCCCCTGAAGCGGCGCCGGCACACCTTGACCGCCACCTTGCGGCCCTGGAAAACCTTCAGCGCCTCTTTGGACGCCATGGCGCGGGCGGCCGCCTCGTCCCGCCCGTAGCCGGTGCCCAGGTACACCGTCTGGCAGCGCAGCTCGCACACGTGGCCGTCCTGCGTGCGGCCGGCCGGCAGCCCCTCGATGTCCCGCAGAGGCACGAAGGTGCAGGCCAGCGCCGTCTTGCAGGATTCGGCGCAGCTGCGCAGGACCTCGAAGTGGTCCAGGTTGGGCCCCGGCCCGCCCGCAGACACCAGCTTCCAGGCCACCGCCTTGTAGAGCCGGTTGAAGAGGGGCTGCCGCTCCGCCGGGGCCTGCGGGGGGGGCGCCCACTTCTGGGCCTCGGGGGGGCCGCACCGGCTACGCTTCACCCCCCCCTCGCCCTCGCCGTCTGAGAAAAAAGAGAATCAGATCAGACTTTTAATCACACCTGGAAGAACTTTTTATTTACATTAGGCTGGGCCCAATCACACATTAGCATTAGCGTTAGCATCTGTAACCACAGGTGTGTGTCCTAACCATTAAGTTGTTATCAGAGTAAATCCCTGTTCAACATGAGTCTGACAACTAAGTAAGTAGATAAATAACTTTACACTTTAATACATGCTCTGATAGGCCGGGAGTTTTACCCTAAAATGTGCTAAATTTGCAGTTTAACATAAAATATGCAAAATTGACAGTTTTTCCCATAAAATGTGCAAAATCCGTTTTTTTTTACTACAGTGTGCCATATTTACAGTTTTTACACTAAAATGTGCTACATTTACTTTTTTATAAATTTAGAGTTTTTACCCTAAAATGTGCTAAATTTACAGATTATTTACTATAAAATACGCAAAAATGATTTTTTTCCCCCCGGAAAATGTGAGTAAATCCCTGTTCAACATGAGTCTGAAAACTAAGTAAGTAGATAAATAACTTTAAACTTTAATACATGCTCTGATAGGCCGGGATCGGATCAGGACATCCTTAATAAAAATTAAATAAAACTTACTAAGCTAAAGTTTAAAGTTCAGATAGTAAAGTCAGAGTAAGTTAGGGTTGGTCCCCTAAACTTCCCACATGAGGGAGGAACATCATAGAACTACAATAAACACAAAACCTAACAAAATAGAAGCTAAATCATATTTAACTTAATACAAATAATATATCCGTACCGGCGCTCCTCTTCCCGCGGGACGCCGCTTCTTCTTTTGTGGTTTTGTGAACCGGAGGGTCTTTCACCACGATGCCCTCGCTCATATCCTTGATCTTGTCCTGGACAGCCTGAGGGTAGCTGAGAGGAGAGGGCACAGGTCAACTCCAAACCGCACGCAAACCTTCGAATTTCATTATGAAACTGTCTCATTTAATTTCTGCTAAATGAGAGAAAGAACATGTTACATAGGACTCATAAACTGACAGATATCAGCCTCCATGACAGGGAAAAGTCCAGAAAAGATGCTTTTTTTGTTCACATTTATTTGAAAATTACAGGAATTCTGTGAAATACCAGCTTAAAACTGAGCAGAGGAACCAGGATCTGGATCAGAAAGGTCAGTTTCTGACCGGAGGGATGTTCCAAATGAGATATTTCTGATGGAAGCAATCTCCAGAAAAGTAGTTTTATTCACTTTTTGGGAAAATGTGCTGCCAGATTTTGCGGAAGTGTGTTAATAATCTCTCTTTTTGTCAGAGTATCTGGTCCTTTTTTTGCTTTCTCTCCCACCAGATCCCAAATAATTAATATCTAATCTCAAATTAGTTGGGTACATTGTTTTTTCTTATTTTATTTTTTTTCTTCCATCATTTTAAGGATCAGAGCTTCATTAAAAACTTCCAGACTTTGACAGATCTGTTGTCAGTTAGTGGAGCATGAACTTTTTTAGAGTCATTCCTCCATTTCAGGACTCTATCTATCAGCCTGACTTCCACCTGCTTCCCTCAGAGACAGAAAGTGGGGTCAGTTCTGCTGTCACAGGTAGCTCTACAGCAGGTTTCAGCCGGTCTGAGGGCTTTAAAGGAGCAGAACGGGGTTTTCAGAGCAGACAAAAGCTGCTTTAGCCTGTCATGTGGTGGGTGGGGAGGCTGGGCCCCTCTGACTGACCCCCCCCCCCGGTCCTACCTGCATCCCAGGAAAACGTGGTTGGCCCAGACCATGGACAGAGACAGCAGCCTGTCCAGGCTCCCGCCGGTCTGGCCCGGCTCCACCGTGGGGAAAGCCTCCAGGTTCCTCAGGATGAACTCCCTCCGGGCCAGCCACTGCTTGTTGCTCTCACAGTAGCCGCGGAAGGTGTCCACCCACCCGGCCAGCTGCGGGTTCTGGCCCAGGTACTCCGACACCACGTCCTCTCCGCTCCCCTCTCCCGCCATCCCTGCGCTGACAGGAGCAAACACACACAGTAAACCCACAGAAACTTGCTCTTTAATGGGAGCAACAGCCGAGCTACTGAGGCTAACTTGAACCGGGGACGGAGGACCGGGTCCTTAACGCCCTGGGCCGCGATAGTTTCACACGCCTGGCCGGAATATGACGTTAGTTAAGCCATAAACGTCGTGTTTTCCGGATTGACGCTTAGAAAGTGACAATTACCTGACTTCCAGTTGAGTCCAACGGTAAGTCAGGTAACACTAGCTACGTCAGAAGAAAGGTTAAGGACCACAACAGGTTGTCGGGCTTAACACCACCGACCATTACGCTGTCAAACGGTTTCACAAATTTTAAAGAGCCATTAAATTAATATGAAACTACGACATACCGACCGAGATCTCTCTGTTCCGATGTGTCGCTAGCTAGCATACATGACCGGGTGATGACGCAAATGTGGCGTCGACGGAACTACATTTCCCAGAACATTAACTCAACCAACTAACTGTTAGCTAGTTGGTTACTCTCTCTAAAATTCAAACAATAGTTTAAAAGGATTGTTTTGGTGTTAAAAAATCTAATAAAAACACAAATCCTTACTTTATTTAAAAAAAAAAAGTTTTTAAACGACGCGCGCAAATGGCCGCGACGCTTGACGTCATCAGCCCGCGACTGCCAAAACGCTGGCGGTTTGTTTGGGACCATGAATGAATATCTTTACGTTTTTCCTCGTATGTGTTTGTTATTCAAGTGAGCTAAAATGATCCACGAGCTCTTGCTGGCTTTGAGTGGCTATCCGGGGACAATCTTTACGTGGAATAAACGAACGGGTTTGCAGGTAAATCTGAAACAAACATGTTAGCTAACGTTATTCACAATTGTAATGCTTTCTTTTTCAAAAAGGTTCGAAAGTTTTGGGCTTGGCATTATTAAACTAAGATTTTGCCAAGACATATTTTATCTATATATACATCATATTAGTGTCGCCATCTATCCTCTGTCAAAATATACACCGGGATCCCTAATTATCCTAAAACTGATGGCAACATCAGCCCCTTTTCAGTAGCTGACAGAAGGTTTCCATCCCCAGGTGTCCCAGGACCTGCCGTTCCTGCATCCCAGTGAGACCAGTGTCCTGAACCGACTGTGCAAACTGGGCTCAGATTACATCCGCTTCACAGAGTTCATAGAGCAACACACCGGCCATGTTCATCAGCAGGTGACTTATGAGGCTTATCAGGCCATTAACTCCAAGTCCTCAGAGATTCCCATCAGCTCATCTCAAACTTAGCTGTTGCAATTTATTGTCCTTCTAATGGATTAACCTGTCTTATAAAAAGAAGCAGTTTTAGTTTCAAGCTGGTGATTTCTCTGGAACGTTTAGGAACATCACACAAGCCAGCCCAGCCAGACGGGACTCCATGGGATCTACTTGCGGGCGTTTTGCACGGGGCTGGACTCCATGTTGCAGCCGTACAGACAGGCCCTGCTGGACCTGGAGCGGGAGGTACCATGACCACGCACACGCCTGAAAATGACTCGCACAGCCTGTGAAACGGCACTCATTTACCTCGCTGTGTGTTTCAGTTCCTCGGAGATCCACATCTGACCATATCGCATGTGAATTACAAGCTTGATCAGGTACTGAAGGATGTAAAGTGTAGGGGGAAAAAATTGGGAAAATATACAATTTGCCAGCAGTTTGTTTAATGATTTGCTTCATTTTTTTTGTGGTTTCAGTTTCAGCTGCTGTTCCCCTCCGTCATGGTGGTGGTGGAAACGATCAAGTCCCAGAAGGTACAGAGCATCTGACAGCCTTTTAGTGATCTGTTATTGGTTATTTCAGTTCCAATCATCCCTTTTATGGGGAGAAAATCAGTTGGGGATAAAAAAGTTATACATTTTTTTGTGTGTTTCAGCTGATTTTGTCAAACAGCTCCTTCAAAAAACGAGAGAATTTCCACTTAAAAATGAACAGTGACATTTTTTATGTTTATGTTGTTTATGTTTATGCATTAAGACGCTTTTATCCAAAGTGACTTACAAAGTAGACACAATTTTACAGTTATCATCAATATGACAATGAGTTCTCTAGAGGAAAATCTCCAGTCAGAATCAGAGAGAAAGAAACACAGAAAGAGGACTAGAGGGTCCAGAGGTGAGAATCAGGATAAGAGATGCTCTTTGAAGAGGGGTGTCTTTAAGCCTTTTAAAGGTCTTTTAAAGATAAAAAAAAGTATTGATTTGAGTAGAGATCAGAGTATGCAGTCTTATTGTTGCTATCAGGGTGTAAGCTGTGCTTCTGCCTGGCTTCAGATCCACGGCTGCCAGATCCTGGAGACGGTGTACAAGCACAGCTGTGGGGGGCTGCCTCCGGTGCGCATGGCTTTGGAAAAGTGAGTCTGGGGGGGGTTACAGCGGGCGGTTTTTGGGGTTGGTGCTGATCCCGGGAGATGTCTGTGTTAGACATGTCCCGATCCAGCTTTTTGCACTTCCGATCCGATCCTATCCTGGCCTATCAGAGCGTGTGTTAAAGGTAAAAAAAAAACAACATAGATTTTGCACATTTTAAGGGAAAAAATGTCAATTTTGCATATTTTATGGTAAAAAAAAACTGTAAATTTAGCACATTTTAGAGTAAAACTCCCGGCCTATCAGAGCATGTGTTTGTGTTAAAGTCTAAAGTTATTTATCTACTTACTTAGTTGTCAGACTCATGTTGAACAGGGATTTACTCACATTTTCCGGGCAAAAAATTCAATTTAGCACATTTTAAGGTAAAAACTCTAAATTTAGTATGTTTTATGGTTAAAAAAAAATAAATTTTGCACATTCTGGGGTAAAACTCCTGGCCTATCAGAGCCTGTATTAAAGTTTAAAGTTCTTTATCTACTTCCTTAGTTGTCAGACTCATGTTGAACAGGGATTTACTCTGATAACAACTTAATGGTTAGGACACAGACCTGTGGGTTACAGATGCTAATGCTAACTAAACTGAATCTGGAGTCTGGATCTGCGTTTTCTCCTGCCGGCCGATACCCATCTGTGTGTGTGTGTGTGTGTGTGTGTGTGTGCGTGTCAGGATCCTGGCCGTGTGCCACGGCGTCATGTACAAGCAGCTGGCGGCCTGGATGCTGCACGGCCTGCTGCTGGACCAGAGCGAGGAGTTCTTCGTGAAGCAGGGCCCCAGCGCAGGGGGGGCCGCCGCCAACCAGGAGGAGGAGGAGGAGGACCTGGGCCTGGGGGGCCTGAGCGGGAAGCAGCTCAGGGAGCTGCAGGACCTGGTGAGCAGAGAGTCTCCCTCAGTTTCTGCCCGGAGAGAGCTTCCAAATGAGATATTTCTGATGGAAGCAATCTCCAGAAAAGTAGTTTTATTCCTTTTTTTGGGAAAATGTGCAGCCAGATTTTGTGGAAGTGTGATATTAATGTCTCTTTTTGTCTGAGTATCTGGTCTATTTTTGGCTTTCGCTCCCAAATAATTTATATATATTCTAAAACACATTTCGTACATTTTTTTCTTATTTAAATTTTTTTCTTCCCCTTTTTAAATGTTGTAATATCCCTCTCCTGTCAGTTTTATCTTCTTAATCTCCCATACTGCTCCTAGTTGGTTATTACCATGGAGTATTAGGGCCACATTTAAAAGCGGGAAAAAAATTGTGAATGAATTACGAGATAAGTCATTATTTAATATGGCGAGAATAAATTACGAGATTAAAGTCATGAATATTCTATCCTGCTATAGAGCAGGGGAGTTCTTTATGTGGAGGGAAATGGCTGGAAATGGCTAAGAGGGGTTTTATTCTCACATCCGAAATACCGACTCTCTCCCTCTTTTCAAAACAAAACTCAAAACCCACCTGTTTAAAATTTCGTTCCCACCTTACCATTATTTATGATGTATTTACGACTTTGTTTTAATCATGATCGTCTTTGTAAAGTGTCCTTGACTGGCATGAACGGCGGTTTTTAAAAATAAAATGTATTATTGTTATTAATTTAAAAAATATATATATTTTAAAGTGGCCCTAATTCTCCGTCGTAGGTTATAAACCTTGTTTGTATATATTTTTTCAAATCTTTTTTTTTCTAAAGACAGCATTTGACTAGTGTTTATTTATTATTAATATTATTTTAATTATTATTATTTCTTTAGAGTGTATTAATTCACTAGTGTTTTTTAATTTTTTTTATTATTCATTCATTTTTATTATTATTATTATTATTTTTTTTTAAGAGTGTATTAATTTAGTTTATTTATTTATTAATCAGGACAGTGCACATTAATGAACAATCTCATACAGATTGTAAATGAGCCAGATTCTAGCATAGTTGCTAGTTTACATCTGTGGTCCTGAGGCAGGAAGACCAAACAACACAAAATCACAAAATACAAAATCAGTCCAAACACACGTTCAGACAATGACATTACACAATTAAAATGAATTCAATTCAATATTATTTCTATAGCTCCACATCACAACAACAGTTGTCTCACAGCTTTCCAAACAGAGCAGGTCAGACCTACTCTGAAGTTAATTACAGAAACCCAACAATTCCCACCATTCACTAGAGTGTTTTTAATCTCTTAATTTTAATTGGTTGTAACACTGTTTTGACTGACAAATCAAAGCAGCCTCTCCCACACGGTCCAAAATAAAGACTGTTAAATTAGAGGAGACCTTCATGGCTGTCCCCCCCGTTAGAGGCTGGTGGAGGAGGAGAACATGCTGGCCCCCTCCCTGCAGCAGTTCTCTCTCCGAGCAGAGATGCTCCCCTCCTACATCCCCGTCCGCGTGGCCGAGAAGATCCTGTTCGTGGGGGAGTCCGTGCAGATGTTCGAGAACCACAACCACAGCCCGTCCAGAGCCGGTAGGTAGCCCAGTCCCCCCTGCCCCTGGAGGCGGAGGATAACTGGTGACCTTTGACCCCCCGGGGCTCCAACAGGCTCCATCCTGAAGCACCAGGAGGACGCGTTCGCCGCCGAGCTGCACCGGCTCAAACAGCAGCCGCTCTTCAGCCTGGTGGACTTCGAGAACCTCATAGACCGCATCAGGAGCACTGTGGCCGAGGTCAGTCCACGGGGTCCCACCGGGTTAGGTTAGGGTCAGGGTTAGGGTTAGGGTTAGGGAAAGGGTTAGAGTCAGGGTTAGGGTTAGAGTTAGGGTTAGAGTCAGGGTTAGGTTTAGGTTTAGGGTTAGGGTTAGGGCTAGGGTTAGTGTTAGGGTTAGAGTTAAGGTTAGGGT